AAATAAATAAATACGTAAACAAACAAACAAACCAGCTAAATGACAGTCAATGACTTTGGAAAGAGCAACACTAGAAAGTTCAGGCAAATTCCCCTCACCGCTCTCTACGCCAAGAGCATAAGCAGTTGGGGTAAAGGACATTTAGACATATTTGATGGAGCTTGGAGCCACACAAAATCCCTGAGGACCAATTCTGGGACAGTTTTGGAATGTGCCGCTTGGTGCAAGTATTCAGGTCTGAAGATGAAAAGCAATTACAGGAAAATTGCTTTTCTGTTCTCCTCCGAGTCTGTGCGCTCGCCCGGGCGAGTCAAACCAGCACAAAGAGATAGGAACAATTTTCTATTTAACAGCTGACAAGCTTCTAAGGCACTGACAGCTAAAAACAAAATAGGAAAAATGGCTGAATAACCTCAGACCAGAGGAACAGCCTTGATAACATGTTCCTATAACTCTTGTACTCTTTCAAGGTATTACACTAAAGAGTAGAACTGGCCGTGGAAAAAAACAGCTACTTGTTGAGAAAATCAGACAACAACAACAAGCACTGAAATAAAAGAATTGTGCTCACAAGATCAGTGGGATGACTGTCGCAGGTGCTGCAGCAGTGATAATGAGTGAGACTGGAGTGAAGTGATTGGATGATCACTTCTACTTGGAATTTGAGTTTCTCTGCCTACTGCAGATGAATGTGAACTTTAATGTAATTTCTAAGAATTTTCTTCTGATTTCTTTGGTATGGACTTAAAATCTATAACATAACATCAATATTTGCTTTTAATTCTTTTGGTTATTTTTAAACAGTAACAAACACAGCACTATTGCAAAAGATCAGTTTGAATTACTTGGAAAATGGAAATTATGTGTTTCTTGAAACTGAAGGCAGTTTGCAACCCAGACAGTTAATGACTAAACAAACATTATTTTTGTATAAAGGTCCCTTCTTCTGGTTTCAGACCGGCTTCCAAAGCACCATAAGTTCACATCTAATGATCTAGAACAAATTCAAGTGAGCTTTACAGACTGAGTAATAATTTGCATTGACTTTTTTAACTTGCGAGAACAAACCTCACTGGTTCTTGTGGAGGCTCAAACATGCTTGTGTGACACGCGAGAACAAATGTCTCAGACAAGCACATTTGAGCTTCTATTTACCATATTTGATGTGCTCTGTATGCATTGTTTATATGTGAATAAACGCCTATATTAAAATCTGTTCATCATATAAAGCGATCATGTCTTCAGAAAACTTCAATTAAATCCACTTGATTTATATTGATTACTTTTACAATCTTTTTATGAACTTTTTGAAATGTCAAAATTTTGGTAGTGTGAACTTTCAATGGAGAGACAGAAATCTCTCAGGTTTCATAAAAATATCTTCATTTTTGTTTCAAAGACGTCAAAAGTCTTATGGGTTTGGATTGGAGTGATGACAGTAAATGATGACAATTTATTTTTGGGTGAACTAATTCCCACCCCTCAATAAATAAATAAATACGTAAACAAACAAACAAACCAGCTAAATGACAGTCAATGACTTTGGAAAGAGCAACACTAGAAAGTTCAGGCAAATTCCCCTCACCGCTCTCTACGCCAAGAGCATAAGCAGTTGGGGTAAAGGACATTTAGACATATTTGATGGGGCTTGGAGCCACACAAAATCCCTGAGGACCAATTCTGGGACAGTTTTGGAATGTGCCGCTTGGTGCAAGTATTCAGGTCTGAAGATGAAAAGCAATTACAGGAAAATTGCTTTTCTGTTCTCCTCCGAGTCTGTGCGCTCGCCCGGGCGAGTCAAACCAGCACAAAGAGATAGGAACAATTTTCTATTTAACAGCTGACAAGCTTCTAAGGCACTGACAGCTAAAAACAAAATAGGAAAAATGGCTGAATAACCTCAGACCAGAGGAACAGCCTTGATAACATGTTCCTATAACTCTTGTACTCTTTCAAGGTATTACACTAAAGAGTAGAACTGGCCGTGGAAAAAAACAGCTACTTGTTGAGAAAATCAGACAACAACAACAAGCACTGAAATAAAAGAATTGTGCTCACAAGATCAGTGGGATGACTGTCGCAGGTGCTGCAGCAGTGATAATGAGTGAGACTGGAGTGAAGTGATTGGATGATCACTTCTACTTGGAATTTGAGTTTCTCTGCCTACTGCAGATGAATGTGAACTTTAATGTAATTTCTAAGAATTTTCTTCTGATTTCTTTGGTATGGACTTAAAATCTATAACATAACATCAATATTTGCTTTTAATTCTTTTGGTTATTTTTAAACAGTAACAAACACAGCACTATTGCAAAAGATCAGTTTGAATTACTTGGAAAATGGAAATTATGTGTTTCTTGAAACTGAAGGCAGTTTGCAACCCAGACAGTTAATGACTAAACAAACATTATTTTTGTATAAAGGTCCCTTCTTCTGGTTTCAGACCGGCTTCCAAAGCACCATAAGTTCACATCTAATGATCTAGAACAAATTCAAGTGAGCTTTACAGACTGAGTAATAATTTGCATTGAAAATAGAGGAAAAAAAGGAGATGGCGACCACTTATAGCACCTAAAATGTGCCATATATCGTCTTACAATAATATAAAATTACTTCATTTTACCTTGACCTTCGAATAAAAAAAAAAATGTTAATGGACATGGTATTATCTATTGATACAGCTCTGCTCATAAGTTTACATACCCCTTGCATAATATGCAAGATGTTAATAATTTTAACAAAATAAGAGGGATCATAAAAACTGTTACTTTTTATTTAGTACCGTCCTAAATAAGCTGTTTCACATAACAGATGTTTACATCCACAAGACAAAATAATGACCGAACTCACACAATTAACTTGTTCAAAAGTTTACATACCCTAATATTGTGTGTTGTTACCTGGATGATCAAAACTTGTTTTTATGTTTTGTTCATGTCCATTGTTTGCCCTGAGCAGTTAACTGCCCACTGTTCTTTAGAACAGGCCCTGCACATTCTTTGGTGTTCTAGCATCTTCTGCACATTTGAACCCTTACCAACAGTGACTGTTAGGGGTATAACGATATACCAATGCCACAGTTCGGTTCATATCACGTGGCATGGCACTAGCAATACAAAAGAACACTAGATTCACTTTTAACTGAATAATAATAATAATAATAAACAATAATTGCTCTCTGTTAGTTCATGTTTAATGCATTAACAAATGAGACTTTAAAAATGGTTGTTTTGTAAAGTGTTACCAAAAAATCTATTGCCTTAAAAAATTAAATATAATAAAATAAAATAATGCATAAATAATGCAAACAAGTCATTGGACAACATTACTCAGGCTACCTATAAAAATGCATGTGCCATGGATGACAATAAGGAAATTATTCTAATCAAATATGTAATAACTCAATCTGACACTCGAGAGAGTCGCGAGCCTTTTGAGAGGCGGCTGGCCGCGCATTAGCTGAGAGCACATTGAAGACCGTCTTGAAATGGGGGGAGTACTTTATGGGTTAAAATAGCTTGAATGTTTAAATTGGCATTACTTAAAATGACTTGCTAGTGACAATTCCGTCAACTGTCCGAAACGCGCCAGTAGCCCCTCACTGCAGAACAAAGATCCAGGGGGCGGGGTTGGATCCACATCTAACGCGTGCTAGTCTTGTATTGCAGTGTGAAGCTCGCTTGCAGAGCAAACTCAACGTGGATATAGATGTGAGGCCATTTGTGCATTTTGAGAGAGTGGGAGAAGACGCGGTACCACTCAATCCCAATCACTCACATTTTTTGTGAAATTCCATCTTACAGAAAGTTTTAAAATGATAAGTTATCCGCTTTGATGATCAGTTTGGATTCAACCTACATGCTACAGTGCAAAAATGTTTGCGGGAATTTCCTGCTTTATAATCGCGAAATCTGCGGGAATGTGCGCAATGCATCCACAGAGCGAAACACAGCAACTAAAATTATAATAGTGTTCTCATTATAATGTTATGTATATGACAGTCCCAGTCATAGTTATTCAAATTCAGCATTGTTGTTTGTGCTGCTCGCGCTGCGTGCTGAAGAGATAATGACCGTAGTAGGGCTACAATGAAGCACTTTACTGCAGCGTAACTCCACCAAATACAGCTTATATGAGATAAATAATATATACACAATATATGCGTGTGTGTGTGTGTGTTTGACTGAGCTAGTCATGAAGATATAACTCTGTGTACACATTCTTTCCATAACGTGTTGAAACATGACATTCTTTTACAGTCGTGTTCTCATTATAATTTTATGTAGCCTATATGACAGATTTGTTCTGCAGATGTTGTCCTTAATGGTACTTTCCTTTTCAAAGTCTCAGTTGGGGGCGGGGAAGGCCATGAGAGTACCGCGGTACGTACGTTTTTCGGTTTGGTTTGAATATCGTTACACTACTAGTTGACTGTATGATTTTGAGATCTATCTTTTCACACTGAGAACAATTGAGGGACTGATATACAACTATTACAAAAGATGAAAAGATTTACTGATGCTCAAGAAGGCAACATGAATCATTAAGAGCTGTGGGGTGTGAATTTTTTTTAACAGGATGATTTGTAATTTATTCTTATTCTGTTTAAAGATACATAAATAAATATTATTTAAAGCATTTTAGCACCTTTCAGAAGCTACATAAGATATTTACATGTTTCCAATAAGACAAAATAACTACAATTTACCCGATCATCTAATTCAAAAAGTTTATACCTCACCGATCATAACGCATCACATTGCCTTCTTGAGCATCAGTGAATGTTACATACCCTTGAATCTTAGTACAGTGCAAAATAGTACAAAATAAATAATGTATTTTTTTCCTTCCTATTTTCCTAAAATTATTAATATCCTGCATATTCTGCAAGGCTTATGCAAACGTATTCGCAGAACTCTATTGGCAGTGTGCAAAAATGTTTGTGCTTTAGAGAATATGGTTTGGTGATTTAATTGTGCTAAGAGATAAAACAGGCTCACTTGAGTCTGGCTGAAGAAAGAGGAGTTGGGGGAAACATTCCTGGCTCAAAAGAGTCAAAGTAGGTTAGGGTCCAGGAGAAACTGCAACAAAGAACTCCAGCCACGGAAGACAGGACCAAAATACACCAAAAACCTGCAGGAAAAAAGTCCTGTGTTTTACAATATGCAACCACTATGTTAAAATACACTAGGTGTAATTTGGACCTACCTAGGAGTCTCACTTCTGATCCATCTTCAGTGGTTATCCTCTCTGCTCTTAGATCTATAGATCAAAGAATTATTAACCAAATCAAGCATACATGCAGAATGCATATATCATTCGGTATTGCACATGCTTGAACTTCTGGAGAAGGGTTCCAAGATATAGATATGAACTTATTTTAACCTTACCTTTTAATACGATGTACAAGAAGGAGATGAGCACAGCGATAAATGAGACGATGACTACGCTGCATAGCACAGAGACTATACGAGCGGGCCACAGGTGAGTGTGTTTCCAGAAGCGCTGGAGTACGGGTTGCCGCCCAGGCGTTGCCCTGCGGATTTCGCTGCTCTCAAGTGAAGCTGCATTTATTTCCCCCAACATGTTTCTTCTTCCTGCTAATGGAGTATTATCTTCATCATCAGAATAAACGTCTAAGGATTGGACGTCTTTATCTCTGGCAGACCGCAGCATGGTCGCCAAGATAAAAGTTTCTAAAGTAGAAATTGTTGGCTCGTGAGTCACATCCTGCGTCTTTAGTTTGCGCGTTTCCGTTTCCTAGACAACTGGCTAGTTAGTTAGCTCGCCAGTTAATCTCACTTTTCAAATGATTAATTACACTCGATTTGTACAATGCATGTTAAATACTTTTTATTCAGTTAAACGAGAAACACAACCGACTTAAAGCCATTTTCGCTGAACACAGCGTGTATTAATTAGAAAATTGTTAAACGGCGAACAGTTTCAAAACATCGCGGTTTGTGCTTCCGTGTTTGTGAAGCACCGCCTCGATTACCGTGTTGTCCAATCGTAATTGACGACCCAGGAAATACGACCATACGATTGGATGTGATGAACGTCATTAAACAAACCTACTTGTTTCACACATTGTTAATCTTCAGCACACAAAACTAGTTTAATTTGATGAAGACTGACAGCAGACTGAATTGAGTTTGTCACTGATGTCAAAATGGAATAGCCCGAAGATCAAACACATTAATCCCACCACATCTGAAGGAACATTGAGGTCTAACAGATAATGTGGAAGAAAAATTAAATTACTGAAATATTACTTGAATTTTTAGCTCGTGTTTTGCTTGCTTTTATTCTTTTTTTTTTCTTACAGAGGTTGATAACTTTGTGCGAAACAACTATTAATATGGACTAATACTTAATATTTAATATCGAATTAAGTTAAATGTCATCTACACATTTTTCAGCAATATCATGTTATGGTATAGTCTGTTCATTTTGGATAAACGATTCTGTTAATTGACTAATTACTTGAGTACGATTTTAAGAGTAATTTTCACTCTAAGCACTTATCTATTGTATTCTTTCATTTATGTTTTCATAGTTTTTTCATGGAACAATTCTTCAGCACTCTTAAAGCTTCTGACAGTGGCAGTTGGGAGGTCTGCCCACGTTCTCCATAGCGTGAGGAGTTGTCAGCTTTTATTTGTCTCCTCTTTAGTTCTGCATGGTGAACTGGTCCCCAACCTTGTGTGATGTCCATTAGCCAGCAGACAGGATATAGGTATCCCACTGTGATCTGCTGGAACAGTATAACTAAAGCGGCTGAAAATGAGATGATTCACCGATTACATTATGTAATGCTTTTTATATACATAAATGTTTAAATACACAAAAGAAGCATTGCTCATCTCATATTTGAAAAGTTGGGTCTAAGTTTTAGTGTTAAAGTATTTTAAAGCATTGCATTTTTGGATCATTTATGCTGAATATATCACCACCTGCTGTGTCCTTGTACAGCCATATAGCAAAATATTACTTTTTGTCATTTTGTCTATTATTTGGATTTCGTTTTTAGTATTGCAGATCACAGCAATAGTGTTGGTTATTTTATTAAAAGGATAGTATACCAAAAACTGAAAGATTATCAGTCATCGAAAACCTGCATAAATGTAAAATGAATTTTTATAGTAATATGAATTTTATGAAACTTCTAGAGACAGAGAGCTATACATTATTATGTGGTCTGGTTTAAATAACCTAACTGTAATCTGACCATGTTTAATAGTACAAATGCCGGTTCCATGGACCTGGGGCCAAAAAGAAATGGCTAAGATCCTTGAACACAAGGGTTTGCTACCACCTTGTGGCAGCATTAAGTTACCACTGCCCACAAGTAGCTCCAACATCACATTTATCATTGAGCATCCTCATGTGTCGATCCCGATTTTCAGTCAAATAAAAACCTCTCTGTGAATTCTTGCATCGACCACACAAAATAATCACTGTTTTTTAATGGTGCTGGTGTCATTGCTTTATTTGCACACAACCACTGATTCCAGTTAAAGAGTTCAAAGTAGAAAAAAAGTTATATGTGCCACTAGTGTCTGTTCAAGCTTTCAAGTGTTACGTGCAACCACAGACATTTACCATATGCAACAATAGTGATAAGAGAGCAATTTAGGTCACAGAGTAAGTTGATTCACCATCAGATTAAATAATACTGTCATACTAAACAACATAAAAGTTATTAACATTCCAGTGATATTGCAGGACAAGTTGTTTTGTTTCAACAATATGTACAGCACCACAATGGATGAACAATGTAAAAAATAAGAGGCTCAATTTTGTAGCAAAATATCTGTACATTTAAAAAAAAGACTTTTTTTGTCCAATGAAATGTCTTCGTTTTAAAAAAAACAGCACTCTTTTCCACAGTTTACAAATGTCAAATGAGATAAAACCAGTAGGAGAGCAAGTCTGTGATTAAAATGAGATGTACTGTAAATACAATGTCAAACTGATTGGGAATGCTTAGTAGTAAACATTTTCTCAACATTTCATGGGATGTTTAATAATCCTCAACAGCATTACAGTGTCAAGACTGAATCTCCCTCTCGCACGTCATCCATGTTTTTTTTTTAAATCGAAAGTTCAGTTTTAAGATGATCAAAGTTAAAAATAAAAGTGCATCTTGTAAATCTTCCCCTCAGAAAAAGCTACTCAGCTTGGAGTTTTAGAACCGGAGGTAAAATGACAATGAAAATGAAAAGTGGGCCAATCCAAGGACTTCCTTTGGCATTTCTGCTCTGTCTTGTACATGATACACAATGTCTCAATGTTGAATATAGTGAATCATAAAAGACCACAATCTTTCTTCACAATGTCCATTTGTAGAATCCACAATATTTGACTAAGTCAACATACTGCATCCACCACTCTACACTTCATGTTCTCTTTATCTTACGTTCTTTAAAACAATCCATTAAATCAAGATGTCAGATCTCAGGTAAGCAGAAGTGTTCAGTGTCACATTTATCCATCCTTCCATTGACCTAAGTGTGCTATTGTTTGTTCAGTAGTGTCATTGGCCCACCTTCTGTCCTCAAAAGCTGAACAAACTTGGCTAACAGGTGGTGATCTCCATGTTGCGTAGCAGAAGGTGCTGTATCTCCAAGTTCCTTCTCCCACTCCTCCTCAGGGCATCGGCCCGTCGGAAAGGTTGACTGCGCAGGTCTGAAGACAAACAAGTCAACCGTTACACAGTGAGCACAACTACAGTCTGTGCCTGTGGATATGGATGAGACAGGGCCAAAGATGGGTACAAAACAGGCAGGTGTGTGGATTTTTGGTTAGTTTTAGATCAATTTAGTAGGGATGCACGATATTCCGGTACTATATCGGTTATTGGGTGTTATTGGCAAACACCATTGGGTGTTTCGGAAACCAATTGGCAAAATGGAATAGAACAGTTTAATATTGGCCATTTATCTGTCTCTACCGTTTATTGGTATAGGTTTGATATAATGGCTGATGATACTGAATATACAACTGGGCATACTTATTTCCCCTATTTTTAAATTATGGTTATGGGAAAGTTAATCTTTACAACACACTAATAATTTTAATATATTTTTTTTGTTGACAAAATTTAATATTGGCCATTTATCGGTCTCCACCATTTAATGGTATAGGTTGATATTTGATATAATGGTATCATGCTAATGCTAATTTACCCTATTTGTACATTGGCATGAACATCAAATAATGGCAATTGTAAAGTTAATCTTTACAAAAGAATAATGATTTATTGACATTGTTAGATGTAATCTTCAGCAAATGAAAAAATGAAATGATGAATTCTTCATACTGCTTGGAACACTTAAAATGACTGATCATAGTTTTTGATGTATTATTTTTTACATTTAAATGGAATAGCATATTTTAATATTGGCCATTTATTTGTCTCTACCACTTATTGGTATAGGTTAATATTGAATATTGAACTGTGCATATTTACTTTCCTTGTTTTTAGATTGACAAAGTGAGCATTAAATTAATGCAATTGTGAAGTTAATCTCTACAAAACTGCAATATTTTTACATTTAACACTGTTAAATGTAATCTTTAGTATATGAAAGAATGAAAAGGGCAATATTAATTCTTCACACTGTACATAATGCTATGATCCCTACATTTAATTAGAGCATTTAAAATGGCAAATTTTCGTTATTCAGATAAAATGGAATAGAATATTTATATGTTTTCAACAACATTAAAATATTATCAGCATATCATATCAGCCAGAATTGTAATTTTAGTGCATCCGTACAACTCAGATCCTTCTGATAAGTCATGATATGTTGGAAGGTGGTTACCAGAGACAAAGTTTGCCTGCAACTGTATTAGATCTACTCAATGGGAGGGGACACTTCAACAGATTTTTAAATCTGCGACTAGATTTAAATAATGTGCAGGAAACAAAATGCATAACAGAAATTATTGGCAGGCATGCATTTTTTTATGCAGAGAATTCACGTTTCCATCCTGTATTTAATGCCCTTACCCAGGTGAATAGTAAACAAATGAAGAAACAGAGAGAAGGATGGAGGGAATGACTAGGAGATGAGTGAAGAAGAGACGGACTTAAAGGCACCTTTCTGAGGGGACAGAATTTAGTTTAATAATGGAAGTCCTCGGAGAGGGCGGGGTCACAGAAGAACCGCGAGCCACGTTTGGCTGATCGTGCGGTAAAGGGGACGGTCTTCAGCACTGCAGCAAAATAATAGCCAATCACAACACAGAAACACCAAAAGCTAGAAGCTCTAGAAAAGGCACAGAATCAGACAGAAACTTCAAGCCTCTAAACTCCAGTAAAGCTAAACAGCATGGTGTCTACTGCTACTGTACGTCTAATGTTACTATCTAAAGAACAAGACCAATACACACTTAGGGAAACAGATTCATTTGACGTACGTACAATCAAATGAATCTGTTTAAGCTTGCATCCAGCAGCGTTCTTACCCGTAATGATGTCCTCAATGGCTCCATCTTTGCCTTCGTAGACGTGGCGGCTATCTTTGCCTTGCCTCTTCCTTAACTCTGAGATCAGTTCCTGCTGCTGCCGCTTGCCCTTGTGAGATGGTGACTGGTGTTTGTACAAATTAATAAATGACAGAATATCCAGTTAGTGCACACAGCTTTGCTGTAATCTTTCCTTTAATGTACACTGTAGTGTGCTCTAAGGCTGGGTATTGACACAAATTGCACGGTTCGATTTGATTTAGTTTCACAAACTTGCGTTTCGACTCGATTCAGATCTCAATTCGATTCAGGTACAGTACATGTCAGTTTAAGCACAAAATTCTCTACTAACTAAAAACTAATGCTGTAAACCATACAGGGAATTCTGTCAGTTGGTACATTACTGTAAAATTTAAGGTTAAAATTAAATGATTTGTATACAAACATTAAAATTCCTAACATACATTAAATATTTAAGAACATTATA